AGCTTCCACGTTGACTTGTGACAACCTACCTTGTGGAACAACTGGTAGAGCAAGCCAAGTTTGTAGGCTGCAAACACCAGCCCACCCAGAGCAATGCCCGCAGAGCACCCAACAACTGCACCAATGGCTCCAAATGACTCCATGCTAGGATGCGGAAGCAAACCTTTATTTATAAAAAAAAAAAAAAAACTCCACTTAGCTAAACTTAATATCCTACCCTCAACTGGTCCAGTCCAGCAGCTCAGCTTGGCTAGGCTAAGATACTGTGGAGCTGCAGCTACAAGTGCTTTACTGCCATTGCTAAAGTCCTAATTCTACCCGTACATTCACGGTCAAAGGTAGCTAATATAGTTAGTGAAGAAAGGCTGTGAAGGGCATGTAACGTTAGTCGACTCTTCTGCAACTGCCGCCGACTGCTCTTTCCGCAATTGCTGTTACACAGGAACGTCAGGCGGCTACATGTAACGTTACAAGTCGAGCTAGCTAGGATTACATGAAGAACTTCCGGCTATTGTTTTCAAAATAAATTCATAGCGACATAATGCACATAGAACAGAATGGATTTATGGTCCGTTACCTATGATATATTTATACAGGGAATAAAGAATGATTTTTGTGTCAATATTATTTGACAGAAAATTAGTCTGCATTTTTTCTGTGCGGGCCAGTCTAACAAATATTTGCCTTTTATTGTGAAGGAATATACGACTTCCTCTCTGGTTACGCTTTCTTTCTGGTTGAATGGTTGCGTGCAGCAATAGGTGAGAGCGTCGCTCATGTAAAGGACAAGCCTTTGGTCCAATGAGGAGCTTGTGGGGGCGTGCCGCGCTGTCAAAGGTTCAAACTATTATTTATTTCTCACAAAAGCAAAGTTCATACCATTGACAGGATATATGGTTCATACTGAAATAAGAAAACAAGACAAATCAGGCGGTGTTGCATTATTCAATTTATGGCAAAAGAAACAATGGCAAGATGTAACGTCACTAAACCTTTGAAGAAATAATTAACCATACTGCTGTACAATAGCAATTTAAAATATCACAGTTAGTAAATTAATAGCTTTAAATCATTGACGATAATTGCCACGTGCAAGAGTATGTGTGTTGTTGCTCTACATTATTTTCACAGCAGTGTGCAAAAGGGGAGTTTGTAAACATCAATTGTCCTTCCATGATCAGGATTTTCAGCAAACAGTACTTTGTCAGCCGCCTTTTGTTCCTCGAAAACAATAATCTGAAAGAGAACACAAAAAATACATAACATACTGTAGATACTGCCTACATAAAAAAATAGAAAGCAGAGGTAAACTTCCCCTCAACCAAAGTGAAACACTCACGTTTTATCTTATTAGAATCTATGAATATACCTGATTCTCTCCACTTCTCATCCAAGCTCCTGGTAGATAAAGGAACTGCTGGGGGCCGATGAACCAATGACGTCCAAGGTTCTGTCCATTGACAAACACGGCTCCTTTACCCCAACCCTGTGGATTAAAGCACTTGTATGATCAGTAAAATGACAATGTGGGAAGTTTATTTATGATTACAGTCAAACATTGATGTAGAGGAAAAAACTTAAGGCATCAGACTGTGTCAAACATATTCAGAATGTTTCAAAATGTTTCTGTCTTAATTTGAGTACATACAGATGTAACGCAAAACGAAGGCACTGCATTATACGGTTATTTAACATGCATGCAAAGTACTGTGTTAAAAATGAAGATTTGAAATAGCATAAATAGTAGATCAGTAGAACATTTCCTAGTTCTAATGGAATATCTTTCCTACTAACAGGGAGTCTGATGAAGGTGTCTCTGGGAGGACTGTCCACATACAGTCTGGCCTGGAAAAACCCTGGAATGGAGGGTGTCTTGGGGTCAGACTTCCACTGACCAGAACTCATTAACCTGAAACAAGATCAAACATTCATGTGAAACACTCCCTGTAATCACACAACACTAAAATCAATCTGGACATTATGAGGCAAGAAGGATTCTTGGCTGCACAGTTATTTTTTGATAGGTGCTGTGATATCATGAAGTGTGGAGGTTTGATGTACTAATTTGCCCTGTCTGTCTGGTTAACTTGTTAACTTGTTACTTGTTTACTTTAATTGTGTTTTCCCACAATTTCCAGCATGTTTTTCATCATCAACATCCAAGTAAGCACAATAACTATTTGACTATATAACCAATAGTTCATGTGTGGGCATATACTGTACTGTAAATAAAGGTAGCTAGATATATACCCATTTCACACCAAGATGGAGTCAGATATGTAGACTGGTGAAGTATTTTAGGGTCAAACTGCCCTTTAATTTACAATTAACAGATGTATTTTAGTGTCCATGAAGAGATCTAGTAGTCTGGCCATTTTCACAGAATGAAAAATGAAATTCAGTTAACCAACCTTTTCATAAAGCCTGGCTTCATATCTAAACAGAAGATGGTAAATCCTCTCAGGGGGGTGTGATTCCACATAATGTCTCCCACAATACCTGTAAGGCAAAAATAGACCAGACCAAACATCATACACAGACATCTCCATCCTTTTGCATGGGTGTGATGGGCCACAACCTTAAAATAAATTATAAAGAATGGTTTGACTGTGGCCTACATTTGCGTTGCACATCACAAGACACTTGAATACCTTTGCGCTGGTCATCTAGAGCTTTCCCATAATTCACTCTTCCACAGTTCTCCACAAGTAAGCTCAACGTTCTTTCTCCCTTTGATGCATAAAACATGAGTGTCATTAGGAAAATTGTTCAGTAAACATGAGTGACCACAATGAAGCACTCCAGTATTGCTCTGCTTATTTATGTCAAATTAAATTAGTGAATAACATTCTGAAAGGGTCTGAATGCAATTAATACAGCTTCTCAGAATCACATATTGTTGTAAGTTCCTCTAAATCCTGCTCGCGCAGTAACAGGAATCCTTTACAGAAAACCTCTGAAAAGCTGGATCATTATATGTTTAATATGTATATTTAAATCAGTGTAGTTACACTGGCTTTAGTCATTGATTAAAACATTTAGGCAATACCTCACATCAATGACTGTTAGCTGCTGATCATAATCTGCAGATAAATAAAAACAAACAAACATTGTTTTTTAATGAATATGATATCTATTAACACACACAAAAACAGTCAGTACCTTTCCATCAGGAAGGGTCAGCTCGTGAGTCTTGTTGTCCAAACTACCAACACACTGTTTGTCCACAAAAACCTAGAGAACATTAAAAAGTCAACAATTAAGAGATTATGTATAACCTCATCAGAAATTATCAAAAAACGATATTGTATGCATATATTTGCATGTCCTCACCAGAGCTCTGTCTCTGATATTATTCCTGGAGTTGAGGGTTCCTCCACTGGTGATGGTGGTTTCATACAGTGTGTAACCGTATGACTGACCATTGTTATTGTTGACAGGAAGATTCTCCATGTTGACTGGCATCTCTGACCTGTATGGCTGGATAGAAAAAGTCAAACAATCTTACATATTAGATACAAGAATCTGACAGAACACAGTAAACATAAGACCTCTAAAGATAATGAAATTAAAACTGCATTTGTGTAGTTTTACAGTCAGGGGCCTGCTGGGGTTAGGAATTTCCATTCCAACTGAATGAAATCACAAGATATGTATGCATGCATGAAATTGCAACACACTTGGAGTCTACCAAACAGCATATGACAGATACTTAAAAAAAACAGGTGTGTTGACACCTTGATATCTGAGCAAACTCGAGGTGCTGGAGCATGAGCAGCAAGATTTCTACACACACACGGAGACACTGAAGCTGATAACAAAGATCTTCTGTCTGTCTGAGGCTTACCACATCTTACATTTTGCTGTCATCCCAGCAGGACC